TTATAAGTGTCCTCTGATATACTCAGGATATAGGAAAGAGGCATCCAGTTCATGTGTTCTGGGACTGTGTTTTGGCCCTCATACTGATTGACAATATGTTCTCTGATGGTAATTCAGCTAAGTTGTGGGAGGTAATAGTTCCCCTATTGAATGCCTTTACTCACATCTGTCTCAGTTGAGTCTCCTGTCACATAGGCATCAACGGCAACGAGATGGTCAACCTATAAGCTAAGACTTATGTTGAACGTGCCTTATGCCTCGTGCGTTGAGAATGAGTTAGCTTTGGGATCGGTCACACAGTTCTAGCTTGGGAGCTCTGGAAGGAGGAATGAGAGATCTGGTACACTAGAGTAGGACATAGATACTATGCCTGTAAACCAAAGACACCCCGACGCCTCTAGGACCTGACCCGCATAAACTCCTATGTTTTGTTGAGAATCTGTAGTTGGACAGGCATGATCGGCCACGACAGCTGCAATGAAAAAAGGGTAGGTACTACTAGATTGAGTACCCCAGTGATACTAGAGGGTGTCCTGCTGATGAAGACTTGTATAAGGATTTAGTAGTATTGAGGTGGAAATGTTAGTGGGTATATCATTGGTGGCTGGGCCTGGGAATTCCTTGTCATATTAGGGTCATAAATGGGGAGCTAGTTGTGGTAGGTAACCCCTTTGATAACACATTAATGGTAGAAAGGGACGGCGAGCCTGCAATGGTAGGGGATCCTACGACTTGCACCTGGTATGAGAAGAAACATGACAGTAGTGGTTGGTCTTGCCAGGCGAGGTGATATTACTGAAGAAATGGTTCTTTTTACACGATCAATGGTGGGGTGAGTGTTCCTGCTGTGGTACTGCCATTTCCGCTATTATTCACCAAGAAATGCACTACCTTCGCCAAATACTTCAAGAAATGGTCCAGCTGTTTACTGATATGTCACGATTGTTTCAGGTCTTTTCAGGACCAGCATTGGGACAGGTTGAACCTGACAATACGGACGTCAGTAGTCTTAAGATGGGCTAAGATGACTGAGTTGCTGAAGGAATCCTATTGCCCATTTTGTGGTCTGGTGTTCATGGGTGGTTGCTTAAATCTTGGGTTACACTATAAAAGGATAGAGGGATGTTAGGATAGACTGTATATTTCCTTTGTTGAGTATGTGGGACAAATTGTATTAGAAGCGGATAGGGTTGAGGCCATGAGACGGTGGTTGGATTGCAGGGTGGGAAGACGCGTGAATCCAGCGTAGCGCTAGTCATTGTGAGCACCTGCGAGCCCACATAGGTAGTCATTTTTGGATTTATGTTTAGAAGGAGTGGTTGCAGATTGGAGTGGTCCACAGTAGTGTATTTTAGATAGTTTATTTTATGAAATGTGGGGAAGACTAGTCGTATACCAGTGTTGGCAGTACTAGTATAAATAAAATTTGATTGAATTCTAAGTACTTTTCCTACTCCTGCCTTTGCTCCGCCTCAGTAGTGTTCCTATTACACCCACAATGGTCTTTGATGCCTTAGATTCTGGGGGAGATATCTGAGTTCACTCAGTAGTTCCTGCGATTCTTAGTGTTGAGTTCTGTCTGTGATGGTAGTTGAGTGGTGGATGACTTGTTTCCTTCTCGTTTTGCTGACTGCTAGTTATCTCACAGGGCTGGCAGTTCAAGCTCTTCATCACTATTGCTTTTAGGCCTTTTTCGGTAAAAATGTCTTCCGTTTTCCGTCTATTGTCTACTCTCAGGTTTCACGTTCGATTGAGGAGATTGAGCTTTGTGTTTGGGGGTATCACCCATGTCGCTCTTCGGACCAGCTCATGTTTGTTGAGTTTAACAGAGTCCTTAGTTGTCACAATACAAAATGCCCTTGGGATAAACTGATGACCTTCCCAGGTTTCAACTCATCATACCGGCCACATCATTCCTCAAGTGGCAGGACAGTATCCGCCCAGTCCCTGCTCCTTCCATTCTCATTTCTATGGTCAGAATCCTACAATGTTGTTTATCGCCATTCCCTTAGAGTTTTTGTTCTTACAGTATTTACGGTGATTCAGTCAGGTGCCTCCTCTTCACCTTGGTAGTGATGGCTTTGCCCCAGAAAAATCTTACCCCTAGGTGTGGTTTTTTATTACTGCCTATGGTGGTGTGAAACAATTGGCTACCTGATACTCAAGTTGTCTAGTATTTGGGTAATTCGGTTGTGGATTGTAGTTGGCGGCTTCACCTATTGCAAGTGGGGTCTGTCTTCTGTTTGTCTGCTTCTGTTTGCTTGCTCTCACCCTTACTGTCATGTCGGTTGGAGGTGTGTCTTGCAGAACTTTTAGTCTTTGCCTGTTGCCGGACCTATAGGGCTGGCTTCAGCTAAGCTCTGCTTACCTTTTCCCTACTTGGTTAGACTTCTGCTTGGCTAGGTTGGATGATGTGGCTGGTACCATTACCTTCAGGTATTGGTGCTACCTCCTTTGTAGCTCCCAGCTATGGCTGGTGGGCCCTCCTTGGATACATGTTGTCAGAAGTTGTGGCTCTGTTGGTGTGGCTAAGACCAGTGGCTGCCTGATAGAACTAGGTAGAAGCTGCCCTGTGGCTGTAAGATGGTTGACCTGTCTGCGCAGCTGAGGGGGCTGGATCTGCTCTGTGGCGTCTGGTGTGTGGAGCTTGAAGGAGGTGGACTGGGGGGGGAGAGGCACCTGCAAGTACCAGTCGGGCTTGCGTCAGGTTGAGCAGGATTTAATTAAGCGTTTTCAGTCCGGCTTGAGCTGTTGGGTGAAGCTACTGAGTTCTGTAAAGCTCTCTAATGGACCAGCTGGGTTGATGGCCACCTGTGTGGATGGTGGGTTGCAACTACCTGGTTGGACTTGTTTGGGTCTTGTGCATTAGGTTTTGTGAAGTTTGTTTGGTTTCTTTAGTTTGGCTGCAGGTATGGTGGGAGGAGGCAAGACACCATGGGTGGGAGATAGGCCCTACTGGCCGTTTCGGTCTGTTACCACCTATATGTATTTCTTTTGTTTGTTGCGTTAATTTGGTTTACAGGCAGCAGGTACAGGTCCTCCTCACTGGTAAGCTCTTGGGAGGTAACTGGCAAAGTCAGTTCATAGGGTCGACGGCCTGGCATGCGGGCATGAGAGGTGGCCATATTAGTCGCCTCCTGCCTGCCATTGTGCCACCTGTGTTGTTAGATTGTTTTCTCGTTTTCTACTATAGTGGGGGCATTGTGGGACGGTATTCAGATCGGATAGTAGTGATTATATATTTTGTTGGACGAGGAACTCAGTTGGGGTCGATCTTCTGTTCCACTTCGGCTTCACTTAGTGCTGGTTGACTTCATACCAAAGAGGCTATGGGCTTGGACTAGAGAGGGTGCTGAGTTGTTTGATGGTCTTGAAATTAGTTCTTGTGTGGGCATGACTCAGGGATGGCTGGTGTGGGACTGTAGACTTGGTTAGCTTATGATTAGTAATATACTAGTTAGCTGTATCCCTATACTGGTGGGGGCTTATCATATGCCAGTGTTGGTGGTACGAGTTTAAATAAAATTAGATTGAATTCTAAGTACTTTTCCTACTTATTACTTTAACGAATATAAAACACCATTATGTTCTTTATCATTATCACAATCTTTATTACTATTATGATAAGAATACTCTTTACTATCAAGAGTTAGAGAAAGCTTATGATAGACATTCCTGATAGAAGACAAAGGTCTTATACTATCGGAAACATAGGCAGAGGCCTATTGCTATCAGAAGACTGAGAAGAAGAAGAAAAGAAGAGAAGTATTGTTCTCCGTTGCTAAAAACTAACTATCCAACGGGGGATCATTACATCTTGGTGGAAGGTTTGATGGCATGATCCGTTTTCCTCTACAGATCAAGCTTACTACCGCAGACGAGGATTCCCCCTTTATCCTAGAGTCCACTCAGTTCTCAGTCCATCTATACTTTGCTATAACAGTTATCAAATTCCAGGATCAGTCTCTGGATCAGGTTGGTGTCAATCTACACACCCCTGCCTTCACTCATGGCCAACTGTATGTGGCTCTCTCTAGAGTCACCTTATGGGATGGACTGACTCTCTTATCCTCGGAGCAATCCCCTACCTAGACAGATAATGTAGTATATCCTGAAGTTCTTATTGAATTCCTCTCTAGTAAGTTGACTCCCTTATATGTACTTCGTCTAAGTCTATTGATTATAATACTAATCTTTTTCTATAGTACTGGCAGAACTTTCAATCCCAAACATCACACTTAGGCTCTGAATTCACTCCACCTCCACAGCTTTCTCAGCTATCTTTCCTATTCTGCTGGTAATTCCTCTCATTGTTTTACTCCTGGTCAAGTTACTAATGGTTCTTCAGCTTGCTGTTTACTCTATCCACACTTTCTTACCTTATCCTGCCATTCTGGCATGTATTTCTTACTGATTTTTTAACTTTACTGCTCTCTTATTTACAAATTACTAACCTGCTACACTTTATATCTTTACTCAAGCCATGCTGTTTTTACTATTTCCTTTCCTTTTCTGTTTATGCCCATGTTATATTGTTTGTTTTTAAATTCAATAGATTCATTCTCACAAAATCGAATTAAATAATTCTTTTCTATACCTTCTAAAGTTGCATATATCCAAGTTCTGGCAATTTCTGACCGTTCATATCTCATCCATTGTACTTTGAACTTTTGCTACGCACTCGAGCGTAGATCGACTGGCTTCTAGTTCTAATAAATGGTTGGGTTCTTCATATAATATGATACCATAAAAAATAATAATATTATGTAGGGTTACTCAACACCCCGGATTAAGCTTGAATGTTGATTTGAGTTTGGGACCGTAAATTTCATCTCACGTATGGATGAGGAATTATGATAGATTGCCGGAATGATAGCAGTAAATTATCATACCCATTTCACCCCCAACCCACCAACCAATCAGAGAAGCCCCTATTGATCAACCCCGGTTCCAAGTGCGACCTCGGGACTCCCGCAACCCGATTAATCCCCACCCATCATCCCACATCAAACTCTGCCAAAGAAGAAGAAAAACTTCCTCAACGAATAAACCAACGCTCACACAGCCAACCAACCAACCATCGGTAGCCAAAGTCAATCAATTGATCTATTAATCCGGGAGAGAGGGGGGGACGAGAATTTCAGCCTCAATTTCCTTTCCTTCTCTTCTCTGTTCCCCTACCCCCCGGACACTGCTAGGACACGGCACAGAATAAAACAATGCTAAAGCACTCCCTCCGCCAATCCCCCCTCCGACGGCCGCTCCTGCTACTCAGAGCCAGTATAAGCAGTAATACACCCCTCCTCCTCTACCCACCAGCACCTACACCGGCGCCCCGCAAATCCTCAACCCACCACCACCAACCCTCCTACTTCGCCGCGAGCATACCAAACCCCTCTCAACCATCAAAAGACCACACGCCTCCATCCGAACGCAGCATAAACCTCGGCCGGAGTATCGCCCCTCCCACAATTCCCCCTTTACCTTGCTCAACTATTAACTGACAAAACTTAGCAATCCAAACCCTAAAGTCCCACCTCCCAACCCTCCTCCAGACCCCACTTCCACTGGACATCCTCTCACCCAGCATAACCCTCAACTTGTTCCCAAGCACACACCCACACTTACCCGCTGTGCGCGGGAGGGTAGCGTACGTGGCAGCGCTATGGACTGCTCCGGTGGCGTGGGGTAGGTTACCCGGCAGGCATCGCCGTTTGGAAGTTCTCAGTGAGAGGATGCTGCGGGAGGGGCAGGGGGAAGGGGAGGAAGTGTTTGTGGTTAAATGGAGGATGTGTGAGGAGGAGGAGTTTTGTGGAGTTTTTCTCTTCGGGTTTTGATGATGTGGGGAGGGTTGCCAGGCATGTTATTGAGGAGGTGGAGAAGGGTGGGGATGCCTATGGAGAGGGGAAGGGTGGGAAGGGTGTTGCTGGGGTTACGGAGTGGCTTCTTGGGAAGGCGAGGGGTTCTGGGGCGGGCGGAGGGGGTGCAAGTGGAGCTGGGGGTGGGGGTGGGTTGGTGTGGCAATGTGAGGAGGTCAGGGGGAGGTGATGTCGAATTGGCCGGAAATTGGAAGGGCGGATAGGGTGACTCCACTCAATTGGTTCTCTCGCTTTGCATCGTGGTCCGGAGTTTTTGGTTGTTTTGCGGCTCTTTTTTTATCACCTTCTTCACCTTCTCCCAATTCGAACGGTTTGAACGGTTGTTGCTCGTAGAAAATATATTTTATGATACACCGCTATTACACTTTTTCCTCTATACACCCTTTATAATGGTAAACAAAAATAGAAGTATGATAGAAAAAAAAAATAAGAAAAAGTACAAGGACTACTCCACTACCCCTAAGGCCTCCCCAACCTTAACCCTCTGCCCCCTCTTCACCAAAAACCTAAATCTCACCTTTCCCTTCTCCCCATCCCCCCCACCCCCAGGCGCCTCAAAAACGAGCACAATGGTGCTCCCCAAATTAAACCCCCCCATTTCCCCCCCCTTAACCATTGGATGTCCGCCCAGCAATTCACTACTCCCCCTATACGTCGCCTCCGCAAAGCCTCCCGAGCCCAAGCCCGTAACATCTCTGGCAAGACTATTAGTCCTCAACTCCCTATCGAAATGCACCTTGATACTGCCAACATTCGTGGCGCCGACGGGGGTCATGCTGAACATGCCGTAGCGCCAGCGGCCCAGGAGGACCACGCGCTCGTTCAAAGTGAAGAGGCCGGGCAGGCGGGATTGCAGGTAGGGCGAGACGCTGTAGAGTTCGCCGGGGAAGTGACGGCGGGACTCGATTACCCAGTTTGTTGGTGAGTGAAAGCGGTGGTAGTCGCCGGGTGCCAGATAGATTACGGCGAAGTAGAGGTTGTTTTTCGAGGGGGGGGGCGAGTGCCAGGATGAGGAGAGAGAAGCGGTGACGGAGGTGACGGAGGAGGGCGGTGGGGGGGTCGATACGTCGGTCTTCGAGGAGGAGGGGGAGAAGGAGGAAGTGGGGGTGGGGGAGGTGCCGGAGAGGAGTGCCGGAAGGGTATAGCTTATCCCATTCATATTCGCGAATTCCTCATCATCCGTAACGTGCGCCAATTCCCTACCCGCATCCCCACCAGGTTCGTATCTAGCCACCACTGTAGAGACCTTCCCCGCCTCTGCCTCCTCCCCTCTTCCCTCTTTCCCCCCCAGCAGGGCATCCAGCGAATACTCCATCCCCTTAACCCCACCCACCATCCGCCCCTCATGCACAACACCGAATTGCAACACCCTCCCATCCGCCGGCGACACCACCGCTCCCGCCCTCCCGTCAATCGGGCGAACACCACTCTTCAACCTGCGGTAAAAGAACTCGGCCAGGTTCGCGTACTCGCGCAAATCCTCCTTCTCCACTTCCGTCAGATTGACACCGAAGATCCAAGCGTAAAGCTTGAAGCCGGGGACCCGCAGCGCGCGCGGGAGAGGAATCTCGTTGAAGCGGCCCCAGTAGTAACTCAGCGCTTTTAGCGGCAGGGTGGAGAGGACATGCACCTGCCAGGGCCCCATTGGCCGGACGACGGACTGCGATGCGGAGTCCGGAGAGGTTGCGTTCCGGCTGCGCGAGCGGAGATGGGTCATTGCTACCATGGCTATTCCCAGGCTTACCGGAATGTAGTACCATTCTATCTTTGTGGATTTTAGGGTCTGGCGCTTGGTCTGGGTTGAGGAGGAGGAGGAGGAGGAGTAGCGGGTTTGTTGAGCACGGTGGTGGTGATGGTGGTGGTGTAATAGTGGTGATGGTGATGATGTGGGGCGGCGGTAGCAGAGTGGTCTCGTCCGTGACACTCTAGCAAGGCGAGAGAGTCGCCATGATATTGATGGTACCAGAGGCATTGTGGAAGGTTGTGGAAGGTTGTGGAGATCAAGCTATCGCAGTAGTGCGCCCGGCGGAAGCGGTAGTTGGAGCTTGGTGCGGTTGTTGCCATGGTGTTCTCTTGGATCAAATTTTTTAACTTGGGGCATGATGGTGGTGGGGTAAGTCTACCAGTTATCAGGTGGGGGGAACAGTCGTGTCCGGAAAGTTTTCGTACCCTCGCATGGCAACCGCACAACCACCATAAAAATTTCAAAGAATTCAATTAAAGAAAACATGATAGTATTGCTAGTAGACAATAAAAAAACATTATTACCATTTTGTATGGCCTCCATTTGCATCCAGTACAGCTTGCATTCTCTCAGGCATCCTATCTATCCATCCATCCAACATCTCTTGGGGAATTAAATCCCACTCTTCCTTTGCTGCCTCAAACAATTCAGCTGCACTATGAGGCCTTCTTTCCAGTCTGGAGAATCACTTGGTAAGGGCTCTTTTGAGTAGTGCCCATGTGTTCTTAATAGGATTGAGATCTGGTGAGTTGGGTGGCCAAGGGAGTTTTTTGTAACCACAGTCTGCTTTCAATTTTCGATTTTCCTCACCACCATGCCAGGAAGCATTGTCTGCAGCAAGGTAGATATTGTCAGAAGGTCTATGCTGTCCCTCCATGTCCAGCTGTTGGGATGTTGTAATGTTGTCGTACGATGCTTGTCCTTATCTTTTCTTCCTCTGGAATCTATTATTTTCCATCGTACCACATATTTTTATCTTGCCATTGGCATAAACCAAGGGCAATCCCTTTCATCTTCTTTCTTCCTTCCTCCAATACTTCTCTTATTGCCCGAATCGTTTTGTCTTTTTCGATTGCTTTCTTGATTTCTTTTTCCTCATCTGAGTTGAATTTGATAACTTGCATTACCTTGAAGTAAGCTTTTGGTAATAGCATTCGTGTTTTCTGTTTGATTGTTTTGTCTTCTTTTATTTGTGGTTTACCGCTTGCGATCCTTGTGAGACCATCTGGCTTTCCACTCTCTTTTCCTGGTCGGTATTCAATCTTGAAGTTGTATTTGCTCAGCTGTTCCATCAATCTTTTCAGACAATCATTTAATTCTTTTGGAGTCATGAACGGGACCAGATTCTTGTGATCGGTAAGAACTCAGACTGGATAGTCATTATTCCAGATGTATTTTCTCCATTCCTTTAATGCCTGAACTATCACCAATAGTTCTTTGTTTGTAACATCGTAGTTGCATTCCGCAGGGGTCATTGTCTTAGACCAATAAGATACTAGACTCTATTTTCCATCTTCACATTGTTGCGACAGTATGCCTGAGCATACATATTTCAAGGTGTCTGTTTCAATCATTGTTCTTCGGTTTAGGTTGAAATAGACCAGTATCAGTGCCAATGTCAGATGTGTCCTGATGGCATCATATTCTTTTTCTTCTGTTTCTCCCCATTCCCATTGCTTCTCTTTTTTGGTTAGATTACGAGTGGTTTTGCAAGTCTGCTAAACCCTTCTATAAACCTTTTATAAAAGTTGCAAAATCCCATGAAGCATTGAACGTCTGTTTTGTTGTTAGGTTTTGCCCTATGCTATATTGCTGCCATTTTGACTGGATCAATCTTGACTCCGCTTCTGTTGATGATGAACCCGAGTTATTCGGTTTCTTCCTTATAGAATTTGTACTCTATTGGTTTGATCTTCATTCCTAATCCCTATATCGTAGCCATGATGTTGCTGACATTCTTTTAATATTGTTGCTATCTTCCAAATAGATGAGTACATTGTCTAGGTATACGATAAAACATATGTCGAAGTACTTGTTTAGTATCTTGTTGATCCATTGTTGGAATGAAGCCAGTGAATTAGTTAGCCCAAAGGGTATAACTAGGTATTCGAACATTTCATACCTTTAGGTGAATGTGGTCTTCTATTTGTCTCCTGCTTTGATCTGTAGGTTGTAGTATACGTCCTTGATGTCTAATTTGGTGAAGTATTTTACTGATTGTAATCTGTCTAATGCTTCTCCAATCAAGGTTAGCAGATACTGATCTTTTTTGGTAACTGAATTGAGGGCTCTGTAGTTGACACAGAGTTATATTTTTCTGACCTTCTTCAGGACGAATAGTATAGGAGATTCTCCTGATGCAAAGGAGTCTCTAATCCATCCTCTGTTCAGTGTTTGTTCGATGTACTTTCTAAGTTCTTTGAGTTTTGCCTCTCCTAGTAGGTATAGCTTTTTGTAGGGAATTTCCTTCGATTTTTCTGTTTTTTCATCCTTGTCCAGCTGAATCTCGTGGTTGATTCCTGGTCTTCTGAGTGGTAGCCTAGTGGCTTCCTCTTCCTGGAATAGATTCATGAATTGATGATATTCTTGTAGAATCCATTCTTTCTATCTGTCTCAAATGTGGCTTAGCACGAAAAAGGTTTTTATATGATGCATAATTATGAGTCATAGGTATGTTATTGTTTTGTGTATATGACTCATTCAGGTCATATGAGTTGTTATGATTTGTTAGATTTCTCACGTAACTCAAGTATAAGTCATGGAATGTGTGCCTGGTAAGTATATCTTGCAAGTGTGCCTTGCAGGTATGCCTTCCACATAAGATTTATGTTTAGCACATGACCTCATTATGAGGTCATGGGTTTCGTGCATGTGACTCATTCGAGTCATATGACTTATTTATTACGTTATGATTGGTTTATCAGTTTTTGCACATAACCTTGCTACAAGGTCAAGGGTTTTAAACATGTGACCACTTTGGTCATATGATTAGTTTATTATGATTTAGTTTTACGAATGTAACCACTTTGGATCACATGACTAAAGGCGGGAAGAACACTATATAAGGAGTTTGGTATGGCTGAGGAGGATAGGTTCTTCACGCTTTGTTCTAAGTACTTTTCCTTGTCCTTGCTGTTGCTTCGCCCTGAGTGATTCTTTCGCACCTATGGTGGGCCTTGATGCCTTGGATTCTGGGGGAGATATCTGAGTTCGCTCAGTAGTTCCTGGAGTTCTTGGTATTGAGGTCTGTTAGGCATTGCATGGCGGATTACTAGTTTGCTTCTTGTTTCATTGTTTGATGGTTTCTCACGATGCTGACACTTCGAGCACTTCATCAAGGTTGCATATGAGCTCCTTTTGGTAAAATGTCTATGGCTTCCTGTCTATCATCTACTCGTAGGTTTCGCGTTCGATTGAGGGGATTGAACATTGTGTTTGGGGGGATCACCCATGTCATTCTTTGGGCCAACTCATGTCTTTTGTTGGGTTTTAACGGAGTCCTTAGTTCTCGCGATACAAAACGCCCTTGGGTTATACTGATGACCTTCCTAAGTATCAACGCGTCATACCCGCCGCATCAATCCACTGGGGAGGAGGCCTCGCCGGCCACCCCCCTCCTCGTTACTACATGTTTCTATGGTCGGAAATCCTACGATGTTGTTTATCACCATTCCCTTGGAGTTTTGTCCTTGTGGCATTTATGGTAGTTTAGTCAGGTGTCTCCTCTCTGCCTTGGTGGAGATGGCTTTGACTCTGAAAGACTCTGCCCCCTGGTGTGGTTATCTATGACTGCCTGGAGTGGTGTGGGACGATTAGCTGCCAGACACTCGCGTTATCTGCGCGTTGGGTTGGTTCGGTTGTAGTTTGTAGTTGGCGGCTTCACCCATTGTAAGTGGGGCCTACCTTCTGTTTGACTGCTTCTGTTTTCCTTGCCCCTCCCTTCTTGTCGCGTCAGTTGGGAGTGCCTCTTGCCTAATGTTTGGTCTGTGCATTTGCCGGACCTGTGGGACTGGCTTCGGCTAGCTCTGCATACTCTTTCCCGGCTTGGTTGGACTTCAGTTCAACTGGGTTGGATGGTGTGGCTGGTGCCGGTGCTTTTGGGTATTGGTGCTGCCTCCTTTTTGGCTCCTGGCTTCGGCTGATGGGCCTCCCTCGGCTGGTATGGAGTTGAGGGTGGTGGCTCTGTTGGGTGGCCAAGACCAGTGGCTGTCTGTCGGGACTAGATATAAGCTGTCCTGTGGATATCGGATGGTTGACCTGTCTGAGGGGCTGAAGGGGCTGGATGGGCTGTGTGGTGTCTGGTGCATGGGGTTTTGGGGGGGCTGACTGGGGGGGGAGAGGCACCTGCAAGCACTAGTCGGGTATGCGTCAGGTTGGGTGATGTCTAATTAAGTATTTCCGGCCTGCTGGGGCTGTTGAGGTGAAGCTGCTGGGTGCTGTAAAGCTCCCTTGTAACCTGGCCTGGCTGATGGCCACCTGTGCGGATAGTGGATTGCGACCACCTGGTTGGACTTGTTTGGGTTCTGTGTACTGGGTGTTGTGGAGTTTGTTTGGTTTCTTTGGTTTGGCAGCGGGCATGGCTGGCAGGGGCAGGGCACCACGGGTGGGAAATAGGCCCCATTGACCGTTTCAGTCTGTCACCACCTCTATGTATTTCTTTTGTTTATGGATTTTGTTTTTTGGGGGACAGGCAGCAGGAATAGGTCCTCCTCACCATTACGCTCTTCGGAGGCACTTGGCAAAGTGGGTTCATAGGATCGACAGCCGGGCATGCAGATGCAAGAGGTGGACATGTTGGTCACCTCCTCTCTGCCATTGTATCGCCTGTAGTTTATATTTGTTTTTGATTTTGTTGGTTTTCTACCGTGGTGGAGGTTTTGCGGGACGGTGTTCAGACTGGGAGGTAGTGATTTTATATTTTGTTGGACAAGGAACCTGGTTGGGTCGGTCTTTTGCTCGGCTTTGGCTACGCT